GGAAAGGTGATACATGGTACATGATGCTAAGAGATAAAATGGATGTCAACAAAGAGCATGTTACACCACCTTCATATCTCAGTTAGGTAACTGAAACAGTTGTTGGGGATGAAGGACCAGAAGCGACTTGAGGAGTTCAGAGAGCACTGGGGACTCAAAGAAGTAGTGTCTCTTCTAGTATCTAAAGGTAGTCGACAAGGCTGCCTTATATAGGGTGATTGTGCAAGATGCAAAACCCTTGTCAAAGGCCAGATCAAAACTAAGCTATGGTTGGCACGTCTGGAGGAAGTGGGTTCAACCTCCTCACAATACACCACTGTCAATATGTGTGCCATTTCCATTGATAAATATCCATTGTAGGACAACATAGAGACTGAGACAGGTACATGGCACCCTTAGAAGTTAAACCCTGATGCTGTGCGAAGGACCACATAATCTCCACACATGAAGCTCAAGCTTCGAGATGGATGGTTGTAACATGTTGGATCTTGGTTGCCTCAACAGGGACAGCCAAAGAGGAAATAAAAGAGGTGGGTCTCCTGAAGGTATCACAGTAATGGAAACCTGGGGTTGAGCCAGGCAATCTCTGGGTAACAGACAGATAGGTGAGTGGGCAATGCAATCCAGTCCTGACTTAATGCATCTATTGCCATTGTTCAAAGGTGTGGTACAAGAGACCAAAATGACAGTAGTTGAATGGTCCAATGAGTGGCAAATGCATCGATCATTGGTGTCCTGAATTGAGAGCAAATACAACAGAAAAACCCTCAATGAAACATCCATTCTGTTTGGATAATCCAGTAAGGTCAAGACAATTGATCCATCACTAAATTCATCACATCCAGAATATGGCAAGCTAGTATGCTGATATGATTGGAGTGTGCCCAATATAGAAGATCAAAGGTTTGAAAACAAAGAGACCTGAATCAAATTTCATCTTGATAGGAAATATAAGACACCACCATAGAATTGTTGGTTTAAAGCATGATGACTTTGCCCCTCAATAATTACAGACCTTGAGACATCCCCTTTGAACAGCAAGTTCTAAAACACTGATGAGGAGGGAAGCCTTGTTGTCTGTCCCTAGTCCCTTGATTTCTTGACCATTGAGATATGCACCCCCATCTCTAAAGTGAGGCATCTGGGAAAAGCTGGAGCTCTGAACAAGGTGGCGGCACTGAACCACCACTGGAGATCGAAGATGTTGATCCTGATGAAGGAAACTGGGGAATCAGGTGGTTCACTGTTCATGATCCATTGGTTGAGCATAGATCACTGAAGAGATCTCATGTGTGCTCCTCCCAAATGAGGGATTCAAGTGATGCCCACATCCCCAAAAGAGAAAGAATCTTGGGAGAAGGAGACATAAGAGTCGGACTGTCTGTTCCATAGCGTGGAGTTGAATAGGAGATAAGAAAATGTTCATATGATTTGGCTAAACACATTAGGAGCTGATCCTAGTCCAAAGGACAGAGCCTTGAACTGCAGCACCAAATTCTTGTGCACTAAATGCAGATAGTGATTGGATGACTCCGCTATGGGAATGTGCAGATAGGTGTTGGCAATATCAAACTTGGTCATCCACAGTACTTGTGAAAAATCCCAATGCAGAGTGAGAAATGTCTCCATCATGAACTTTGGAGGTTCTAGGAATTGATTTAGATGAGAAAGATCCAGGACCAGACGAAAATCTCCCATCATCTTGGGCACAACAAACAGACAGGAATAAAACCCAGGCAGAACTGGAATGACTCTCTCCACTGCCTCCATGACCAACAAATCTCCAATAGCCACGGAACAAAGTTTTGAAATCCGAGAATCTGTGGTAGGCAGAAACATTACAGGTTGGGGGGGGGGGGAATAAAGGTAGTGGATGTGAACTGAAGGACTAATCCTGATGCAAGTACCTGTAGTGCCCACGAATCCGTGGAATAAAAGTTTTCCACATGTCCAGAAATTCTTGGAGCCGAGCCCCCACAGATCCCAAAGGCATGCAGTAGTCACCACCACCCCTTGTGCGATTCTGACCGAGCGGAGGAACCACATGGATATGGGCCGAATCTATGCTGGTATTAATGGATTGAGGGGCTGATGTCAGTGATCACTGAAAAGCTTCCTAAAAATGGTATAGGGATGATAAATATCTCAGCATTATAGTTAGTTAGACGAATCCTAGAAAATTGTGTTCTATTCAGGTTGACCACAGACTCCTTTCTGGAACCCCACATTGCCAGGTGTGGGTTTATTCTCTGAGAGTCTAATTATGATTCCCCTGGTAGTGGTAGGTGAAATCATGTTGTTCTTGCAAACGTGGCAGACAAGTCACAGTTGTCCCTTCATGTAACTGAGCAGTAAACCTTCATGCATGAACCGCAATATCAGGGGATAGAGGGAGAACAAAGTGCTCGCCCTCAGACCTTTCCACCATCAAGGAAGGCACAGTCTCAAAAGTATACAGGGAAACCCCAAAACATCAGGCACTCGAAGTACCAATGGAAGAAAAGGAGCAGGAGGCAGTAGTTCCAGAATGGCCTCTTGAGAAACAGACAGGGTAAAGGAAAACTGAATCTAAATTCTCTCTGGAAAGTCCACTCAAAGTATCTCCAACAGTCGTACTACAAAAACCAGTTACTGAATGCTTTGTCGAGAAAAAGTGTCAATATTATCTGAAGGAGGTGTTTATATACAGTAACAAGATATAGGCCACATTGAAATAGGTGGAGAGTGTCACGAGACAGATATTGCCAGGAATATAAGTGGGGGAATACAAGACTGGAGCAAGCAAGAAAAACTCAGACCAATGCTTCGATGAGCAAAGGAAAAGAAACCTAGCAGCTGTAATGTGAGAACAGATAAGTGTGGTTTGGAAATATACTACTTATCTGTGACCTCGTTTTTTTTTATGTTGGTTGCCAATGAAACTTAACCCTACTTTTTAATACTAATAGTACTTGTACGCTAATTAATTTTTATTTGCTTAAACAATGCACCTAAGAATAAAGAATAATAAGATGCACAAAGCAAACAATGCCCTATGACTATCACAATTTATCTAGCTTTCTAACTGTAGCTTAAGAGCCTTTAAATATTTCCCTAAGCTTGTCAAGTTGACCTCTGCAAGAGAAACTTTCAAACTGAAGATGAAATAAACAATACTTTGTGCTGAAAACAACATAACATAATTCATTTGATATATTAAAACTTTGCCTTTATATTGGTTATAAATAATATAGCAAAAAATGTCAGAGAGAACTATTAGCAATTTGTGAAAGAGAGGGTGTAACTGATGGGTCTGATTTTATAGTTTATGACTTTGTACACAAATAAGATTGAAGGCTATAAAAATTAGACTTTGCCTTAGTAATACCAATATTATAATGAGTAATTTGTATTAAATTCTCAGAGAGGTGGTAAATAAGTTAAAGAAGAGGGAAGACCTAGAGAACAAATGTCACAATTCTCATTTTAGATTGAGGATTTTTTTTTAATATTTCTTTATAAAATGAAGAACTTAAAACATATATAATATTACAACTTGACTTATAAACTATGCTTTGATTCCAAGTTTATTCACATACATTGATAATAAAGTAGTTTAATTAAATTTTGAATGTAACACTAAAAAAGTCATGACATGCATTTTGACCTACCTGTAGTGAGAGGATTAAACAATTATTTGATAAAACCTTAAAATATATACCTGAACTGCTGAGAAAAATATATTGGAAAGTGACTTTTACAAATAGCCCATGTTACCAATACCAAAATCATAAGCATATTAATCTCATTTGGTATAGCATTGGGTTTTTAATGCAAGTCTGATTGTACAACTGCCATTTTTTTCTAAGTGTGGAGGTAGTGATTTTTAACAACATTAAGATGAGAGTTGTTCTTTTCAGATATAATGAGAAGTTTCCTGGAATTAATAACCTTTATTCTGGAAAGTATTATACACAAAGCATACATGCAAAATTAGAAGTTATTATTAAAGTTAGTAAACATGTCATTAACAACCCAACTTGTTTCAGTAGCTTAACATCATGGTAGGTAAAATTAGTTGACTTTTTTCCTATCAAATAACTTTACACATTATCCTTTAATTGCCTATGTGATATTGCATATTGAAATATTAACACTATGAGCTATTAAAACAAGTTGTAACTTATGCCGGCGGTTTGCATAAAGTGAAAAAATATTTTTGCTTCCTAGTATTGCTCTGAAATTAACTCTGTGTTGTATTGTAGCTTTTCTCACTCACAAGATTAACACACGGGAAAATTATACCAATATACAATTGTTGTTCATCATTTAAGAAAGAAAACAAAATGCTGTAAATTGAAAAAATATTTCTTTTAAGAGCTCATTAAGATAAAACTATTTGAGTAAAGCCAGATGTGTTAGAGAACTCTTGACCACAAATTTTGATTTCAGTATACTTTATCTATTTTATACGTACTAAAGGCCTGAAATAATTAAATTGAAAGTTTAGTAGTATCAAAATAGTTTTTGTATATAAAGTAAGGTTATGGTATTTTTAAAGATACAAAGTAATTGCTAGAAACAATTGGCTTCTGAAAAAAAAAATTAATAAATTTATTCCTACAAATTCAAACTGCTACTCAGATTTCACAGTTCATTACCAATCTCAAGTAAAGTTTAACTTCAAAAGGCAAATTATACTTCATGTCTGGAATTGCTTATTTATAACTTGGTTAATTTACTGATAAATTAAGAGGAAATGAAAAATATATGACTACTTCATCAGCAGAAAACAGATACAGAATAGCAAGAATAAAAATGTTTTCATCAAATATAACTTTCAACTATAAAATCCCACTGTAAATGCATTATACACAATTTCCATCATATACATTCAAAGGCATTTGTTTACAGATATACATGCAAATAATTTGAAATCAGTGTCAGAATTCAGTGATAAAAACACGCCAACTAGTTTCTTTTCTTGTGAAATTCCACCAACTGAATGACAGAAATCTAACCTTTCATCAGTTTTATCCATCAAGTTCTGCAACACACCACCAAGGTTGGAGCGAGCATGAAGTAGCTCTGGTGCTGAAATATTAATGTGCTCTATTTAGTCCCACCTTTCACAAATTATTTCATACAAAAGGGTAGATACAGAGTATAACTTAACGTTTTCCTGAAATTCAATTAGTACAGTGTTCTTGAATGCAAAGTATGTAAAAGAAATACAGGTAATCTTAATAGTTTTGCCATAACACTGACGAGCAAGTTTGGTGGCACTATTAATCTCTCCCATCCAAATCAGCAAAGCTAAACAACCTTGAATTTAAATAAAAAACTAATAAGGCTAAAACTGGACAGAACACAGATAATCTATTATGTAGCTTTCTGCTTAACAGCAAACAAACACAATAGCAATATTCTGATTAGGTTGATAGTTCGAATAATCAGGAACCATAATTTCAATTAGTTCATTATTTTCAGGACAATTGATTTAATCATAATTTCAATGAATTGATTATTCAAATAATCAAAATTACCAATTTTGAATAGTTGATTATTTTCAGGACTATTAATTTAATCATAATTTTGATAAATCAACTGTTGAAATAATCTGAAACAGTAATAATTGAAAATATTAATTTTGATTAATTGATTTAATTGTAATTTTGAATGACTGACTAGTTTATGTGACACTAATTTATTACATCACTTAAATTGCCTAGCTGTACTTCAAGCAGAGCCACTAGAGGCCATTTATAAAGTCTTAGCAATTAATGTAAAAAAGCTTCTTCCCAAAAAACAAGCAGAATTAAAGTATCAAATTATTTTTCAACAATTTAACTATTTTTTCATTGTAATGACTTGGTGTTCACTCGATAAAAATGTAAGATCACAAATACATTGAAGAATATATTTTCAAAGGTTGTGTGAAATGTACTTATTATAATATCAGCATTAATTAATGCAAAATAATTAAGACATTTCAGTCAATGTTGCAAAAGTGAGGAATGAAAAAGTTGGAAAAAAAAGGATTTGGGTGAAACTAGTTTGTTGTTCAGTGAAAAACATAACAAATCTTGAAATATGTGCTTTCAGCTAAAATGTACAACATTGTACAACAGATACATAGTAGTTCATTTAAAAACAAAAAACAAAAATGCTAATGTTTATTTACACAAATTTAATATTTAGCATACTAAAATAACTGTTTCCAACTGAACACCAGCAGCAACCCAGCATGCATTCATTATGACTAAACTAACTACGGTCTCTGTATTTAGCAAAACATCCAAATTAATTATTCAATGACCAATCTCTTCCCAAAATATTTCTCCACTTCAATCCTTGCAACCATATCCTCATTATTGTTAACAAGAAATCTAAAATTACATCCATCTGGTTGGTTCCTGGACCATTTGGTATATTAGATAATTACTTTAACAGAGCAGCCCTTTCATCTTGAAACTATCCTAGTAACCATCCTCTGAACCATTTTTTAACGAGTCAGTATCCTTTCTTGTACAAGGAGCTTAAAACTGCACACAGTATTTCAAGTTATAATCGATACACCTATAAATACACCCTAAAATACTAGTGGCTTTGCTACTAATAACAGAGCACTGCTTGGATGTCTTGAGAGACTTATCCACCACTACTATTTTGTTAAAATGAGTTTCAACAATTTAAAAAATATAAGATCTAAATGAGTAATTGAACATGCAATACTTAAGTGTGTAGCACTATTTATCATTTGCAAGTGTTAAATATAGGAGAAGCTATATGATCCAAGCAAGCACACAAGTATTCAATATTCATGCAAAATATTATACTATGTTGTTCTTTCTAAAAACATGGTTCATAAGCAAACTTTGTAATTAAATAATGCCATTATATCAACATTTGGTAATCATATGCTAACAGGAAAAACGTTATAAACAAAGAAAGATGGAAAATATAATTCTTTAACCCTTTGACTGCAGTTGCTTTAAGTGCACATGGAACGTTTGTGAGCCATACATTGCATACAGTACATTCGCATTCAACTGTTGGAGGCACACCTTACACTATACGGTGAATCAACAGTCAACGAGTTAAAATGAATTTTACTTTAAATAATGAAATTCTGTTTCTCATCTTATGACACCTGTAGTTTATCTTCTCAGTCAAATGCAATGTTAAAATACTGATTCACAAATTCCAAGATATATGCTAAGAAAATCATAAAAAAGTATGAGATTTTCAATTCTTGAAATTACATTTATCATTACAATTCCCCCTTTCCAATAACCTAACACCCTTGATATCATAAGATGCCATAAACATGTTATAGGATGACCATGCAGTCTTAATACATTACGTAATGTAACATAAAAATTGTAACAAGGTGATTTGTGCTCTTTTATGAGAAAAAAAACTGAAAATAACAGTCAAAAATAACATCCGTACCTGTTTTTTCTTGCTTAACTTTTACTGAAGACATTTTTGTAGCTTCAGGGAGCACTATCTGATGATCAAGTTTCAATAGTATATTCAGCCTGGTTATAATGTCAAATCACTAAAAATAATAAAGCAATAATTAATTTTCATCACTATTTTTTAATGTAAATTAATTATTCATTAAAATTTGTAAAAATATTTACATTTAGCTATTTGTCAACAAACAACGTAGAAGTCAATCCAGTGGAAGAGAGAAGTGAATTACAACTGGTTATGATAATATAAAATGTGAAACCAACCTATCTTTCATCAGAGGGATGCAGTCTTAGAAACTATTTCAAAATGTATGATTTATTAACTACAAGAAAACACGAGAAAAATGATTATACGTCGGAATACAGTCAAAATCTCCAGTAGATCAGGATAAAAATCACAGTATTTCCAATTATTTTACTTCTGTTCTGCTAAATGCATTTGAAAGAGTCGATTTCTGCACTTTTATTAGTTATATCCCACACGTAAGTCTGCACTATTAGAAATATAAAAAACAGTTAGAAAGCTATAAAACATAAAAAGAATAACAATTTTCATTGCAGCATTCTGTAAAACTCAAACTTTGGTTAAATTCACACACAAATCTAAATGATAAAATACTTTTAATGTGAGCATCATAACATTTAGACATCAAGGGAACATTTGGTCCAACAAGGCTATCTTTAGTAATCAACCCTTAATAAAAAGTAAATAATTAAACCCACCCTTTATTTATGAGAAAATCAGCAATTCCTCTCTTAAACCCTAATAACATGCTGGCCTTCTCTTCTGCTGACAGCAGCTCATTCCATAAGCCAACCATCCAGTTAAAAAAAATAAAACTGTCTGAACTGGAGCCTAACCTGTCTTTTGCAAATCTTAAATGTGATGTCTTGTCTCACAGTCTTCAGAAAACACTTTGTAGACTTCAATCAGATTAACTCGTATCCTTCTGTCCTTATGAGAAAGTAAATTTAAAAATTTGAACTTATTCATCTAAAGAAACTTCTATCCACAGAATCATTACAAAGGTCAATATCCTTACATAAGGATAGCAAAATTGTACACAGTATTTCAAGTAATACCTATCTAATAATTTGTTTAGAGAGATAATTACCTCTTTTGACTTGTAATCAATATGTCTGCAAATATACATTAAAATTCTATTTCCTTTAATACTAGAAATAGAACACTGCCTTGATGGCTTGAGCAACTTATCTGCTGCCATACCATGATCCTTTTCTTCAGTCATGTGGGTTCTAATCTATCCTAAGCGTGTGATTAAAATAATGATAACCTAAATGCATTATCCTACACATTATACTTGAAGGACATTTGCCAAATATTTGTTAAACATGCTAGTTGATCCAAGTCATTTTGTAGAACCTTAACATCCTGAATATAGCTAGAAATACCCAATAATTTAATGTAATCATCAAACTTTACAAATTTTATAATTATTACCATATTTATTTCATTAATGTAAGTAAGAAAAAGCAAAGGCCCAAACACTGATTCTCTGAGGCACTCCACTAGTAGCAAGGTTCCAATTTAACTGGTCTCCATATTATAACAATCTACTAGAAGGAACTTGTTCTTTCTGTACAAAACTTTATTCTGGTTATGGTATTTTGTATTTGAATATACAAAGTTTATACAATGTAAAGGCAGTGTTGTGTACTTAAAGTAATTAATATAGTTAAGTGACCTGTCTAGATTATTTATGTAAGAGGTTAGGTATGTAGAGTTCTGAACAAACATGATGACTGTACATGACAACTTAAAAACTATGAGGTTAAACCTAAGTGCATTAAACATGTTATACCCACAAAAAACTTTAGTACAAAACACATGTTGAATGAAATGGTATAATCAAAAATGACAAACTGACTGACCCAACTTGTAAAAGGCACCAGATCTAGCAATGCTTTCAAATCTTGGATATTGGGGCAAGTATTATAACTCAACAGGGTGTTGGTACTGGTATTGTACGTGTATATAAACAAATAAAGAAATTCACACACAAAACCTATACATATACTCACTGCAATCTGAGGTAGGGCTCTGAAGGATGACAGATCCAATCCCCAAATACCCTTCCTTTGGCAATGTATAGTACTATCTACACCCATGCCTTCCTTATGCATATGGTAATGTTGTCCATACTTAATAATAACAATGGAAAAAAAAAGACAAAGAAAATTACACAAACAGGTAAAAAAGTAAAAAAGTTTTTTAAAAGTAAAGTTTTATTACCTCATAACATGTGCAAACCCTGTTATGAATTAAGAATTCATAAGTATGCTATAGTTAGCAATGGATTCATGATGGGGAAACCAAAGTTTAATGATGAAGATGGTTGATAAAACATAAAACATTTTATTTACAAAGTTTCGGAATAACTTATTCCATCTTCAGCAAAATCTAAAAATTGTGTTACAAAGATGAGTATAACTAAAATTATAATATAACAACATAATCATTAGTTTAGTTACTTATTAAGAAAAGTGGTAAATGGCCGGATGAAACACTGTTTATATATACATATACATTACACAATGGCTGAGTTATGTGTGAAAATTTAGAAAAATGTTTGTTCCAAAGAGCTTTGCGAGTCGTTAAAGGAGTCTTTGAAATCTCTTATTAGCCCCTACAGATTTTTTTATGTCTTCAATTCCAACATGCTGAAGTTCATCCTTTCTGTAGTGGAAAAAAAAATTGGAGAACCCCTCCCCCCAAAAAAGCTTTGCAAATCAACTAGTGAAATATACTGTAAAAGAAAATCAACATAAATTCACTAGAAGAAAATCATCCTTTAGTAATCTGTTAATATATTTTAAGGATGTCATTTGTTATCTGGATGATGGAAAGGCCATGAACTTAGATTACTTAAAACAAACTATATAAAAGCTTAGCTAAGAAAATCACATTGGTTAGGTGTGGGAATTATTAGTAAATTGCATTATAGAAACAACAGATTCACGAGACTGAAAACACAGTCTAATGATGAACAATACAACCACAAAGGTGATAACATATTTAATGAATGTTTCAGTATGTGTGTATCCTGAAATGTTCATTAAATATATTGCTATTTAACAGTTCTGTGGTTGTATTGTATATCACTGGATTATAGTGACAAGATGAGAGAAAGCAAAAGGTTGATATTAATAGTGTTCAATCCAACTGGATTCTTGTTACTAGTGAAGGGCCTCAGGGTTCAGTCCTTGGGCACGTTCTTTATGTTATTTACATTACTGATAAAAAGGCATAATCTGTAAATTAGTGCAGCTTGCAGATAACACTAAATTCTTGGGTATCTCTTGTTGTATACAATATGTTGAGGCACTACAGAATGACTTGGTTCAACTGATTAGTTGGACAAATATTTCGCAAATTACCTTTAATAATATTAAGTGGAAGATAATGTCTTTGGGATTTCATAATTTCTATCATATGTGTAATATAGTTTAGAATACACTCAACAGCACATCTAAAGAAAAGGGTCTTGGCATAGTAATAAATAAATTAATCAAGCCATCAATGCAATGTTCTGTTGCTAGCAACAAAGCTAACAGAAGGGTTACTATTGTTATTTCAGAGATGATGGGGATCTAATGACGATAGTTTAAGATCTCTTAACATATTTTCCCTTGAGAAAAGATGGGTGAGAGGTAATCTTAAATTTCTGAGGAGGATCAATATGGCCAAAAATATCATTAACAGCAAAGTTACTAAGCTGATTAAAGAATGCATCCTACTCTTTATAAGTAGAAATGTAAGAAAGGTGTAATAAATGTAATTGGCTAAACTGATTGCCAGGTTGATTTTGAATTCCATTTTTAGTATGTAGTTTGCTCTAATTGGGAGTTAATATTAATGGGGGGAGTGGAGGAAGACCTCTAGTCTCTAGTATTTTCCTAACACTAACACTGTACTAACAGCAACACTTAACAGGGTGAATGACTGATTTATGCCTGTTAATGTTATGGAATGATATGCAATCTGTAGTAGTGGCGACTAGCACTTTACAAGTTTAAAAGTTGTATCGACAATTTCATGAAAAATAAAAGGGAGTTTTAAGTTTTCACTTTCTTTCAGTATCAGGGTTGGGCATAGAAATGACGCCAACATAACTTTTAAAACTTAAAAATGAAATGCAAACTTAACCTTTAACTTCCAAAATAAAAACAACAACAACAAAAAAACAAAAAAAACGTGCGTTTAAAAATTAAAAACATTACTTTAGAAGTTTAAGTTTGAGAAAATGGTTTAATTCCATGAATATAATTTATAAACCCTCATCATGGCTTGTGTTTACAAACTTACCTAACGCCGTGTAACGTTAAATATATTCTAACAAACTAACTTATACACTATTAATATTACTGTATTGACAGTTTTGTAGCTAGCTAGCTAACTTCACCAATATTAACATATACTCGAGCCTTAAGCTTCTCAAATTTGCCTCTATCGTATCATCTTGAAGTTGATGATAGTTTATCCTCACTAGTCGTTGGCTCCATTCTTCAGCGCATTATTGCACTGATAATTACAACAATAACAATATATTAACTTATTTTTTTATTTCTAACGCATCTCAAACAGCACATTCCTGGTAAATGATTGTATAATGAAAATTAACGATGAAAAAAAATTCTTTGAAATAATTCCTAAACTTCTCTTTGTTTAATACAAACGTTAATATTAATAGCGCCTATCATTATCAATAAAAATAATTAATAAAAGCTTTGCAGATACACCTATCGAGAAAAATATAATATTTGGTAATAATAATAATAATGACAACTTTTAAAGAAAGAATATTTATGTAGGGTTTGAGTCCGTTTTATTTCCCCATGTAATGAAAAAGAAAATAAATCTTTAGCATATGTATGCAAAGTATATTTTTATCGATTCTTAGTTATGAAAAATTGATATTGATGTTTTCTTTATGTTGTAACAGAATATACAAAAATAATGAATAATTTTCCATTCTAAGGGGCCCCCAGTGACACAGCGGTATGCCTGCGGACTTACAACGCTAGAATCCGCCACGTTCCCATCTGCAGTTTCTCATCTCCGGAAAAGAATGCCATCTTCAAGCTTCAACTCGTCCCATTTTGCCCGATAGTTCTTTGTCACAGGGCATAGACTAGACATCTTCTCCCAAGCAGGGCGCAAAACACTTGCTTTAGAAAATCAGTTATTGGCTTCATATCTTGGTCTTTCTCCTGTTCTGATTTAATATCTATTCTTGGTTCCATTTCACCATAATCAACTCGTTCAGTCACATTGACTTCAGCTTGATGGCACCTGGTTAGTTCAACCTCTCTTTTGCAGCAATGTCTGCAGTCATTTTTACAGGGTCATCGGCTCAGTCCGTCGGCATTTCCATGAGATTTTCCTTCTCTGTAGTCAATATCATAATTATACTGATCTATCTTTCCGATCCAACGTGCCAGTCGTCCCTCTGGGTTATTTAATGATCTTAACCAGCGTAATGCAGCATGGTCTGTCCTGATGGTAAACCTGGCGCCATACAGATACGGATGGAAATATGTTAGACTCTTTACTATAGCAAGGAGTTCCCTTCATGTTACACAGTAGTTCCTCTCAGGTCTACTCAGGACCCGAATGAAGTAGTCCACCACATGTTCGTTTCCACCCACTTTCTGAGACAACACTTCTCCAATTCCGACATTACTAGCATCACAATCCAGTATGTACGGCAGTGAGGGATTTGGAAGCTTCAAAAGTGGAGCTGAGGCCAATTTTTCCTTCAACGTTTTAAAAGAATGCTGGAAAAAAACTGTCCATTCAAACTTTTGGCCTTTTTTAGTCAAATCATGTAGTGGAGCAGCTATACTTGCAAAGTCCTTCACAAACTTCCGGTAATGGGTACAGAGTCCGAAGAAACTTCTTAATTCTCCCAC